CAATTTATCCTCAAATATTCCCACAGCATAAATGAATTTATAAGGACTTGGGAAAAAAAAAAAAAATGACATAGAAAAACAAAATAAGTTCTGCTAGTAAAACACTCCAAGAAAATGTAGTTGCTTTGCTACTAATTTCTCTTTGTGCAGTCATTGAGTAAATTCCTAAGAATATTTATTTCTAATGCATGCTTCCTAACCTTTTCCAATTCAATGACAAAAGCTGCAATGTGAATCCTAGAAAACCCGACTTCTCATCTTGCATTGTTTTTGGCAAGCGATTTCTAGAGTAGCGTCTCTGATAGCTTCTGTTATTAAGCAGAAGTAGGTAACAAAGACTTGCTTCACTCTAGATAATAAAAAGTAGACAAAAAAATAACTGCAAGACACCCCAGGAGACACTGAAGCTCAAGGATGGAATGACAACCCTTCTAAAACTCATCTACATATAGAACCTAACACAAGAATACAACTGGTGTGTCATTTTTAGACAGCCAAATATATACGTGTATATATATATATATATATATATATATATATATATATATATATATAAAATATTTTCATTTTCCTTATAAAATTATTTGATTCATGTTTGGAATAAACTTTGTGACTCATTGTCAAAGAACACTACCTCAATAAACCACTTCCTTGAAGAGAGCCCTAAAGCTAGTTCATCTGGTCAATTAAAACTGTGTTTTAAATAACATTCTTATATACTCTTCAAGGATTAATTCTTAATCAATACAGTCCCAAGTATGTCAAGCTCACTCAATCCCACAGAGAAGGTTTTGACCAGCATCAATCAAACCTGAACTTGTGGTGACTAAAAGTACATATTTTCATTCTCTTTCATGTTGAATAATTGATGAAAAAGGTTCAGAGATGAAGATATGTAAGATATTTGGATAGTTTTGAAACTCGGTAAATTTTAAGGAAAGTCTAGAATAGACACATTTGTGGGAAGCACAAAGTTCATATATATAAAAAAAAAAAAGTTTTTTTCCTTACAGTGTACTTAAGACAAGTGTGGTAGTTTTACGTTTGGTTCCCTGGATATCTGACCTACACAAATGGGATTTTACACAATCAATATGCAAAGGTAGCAAATACTTCCAAAACTTTCTAAGATATACAAAGAAAAGTAGAATGAAAAATTAGAGTTATTTTTTTCCCATGTTTAAAAAGAAATAAAGTTGAAACATGTTTAAAAAGAAATAAAGTTGTCTTATTAAGAGACAGCAGTTAAGAGCAAGCTCAGGGCTCAGCATGATCCTATATGCTTGTGTGCACATCTTCATATTCACAATGGCACTGTTATTCTTAGATCAAGATGTTTTACTCTCATTGCCAGATGGTACTTTTATGTACAATTCTAATTAAGTATAATATGTGGGACAGTACTGGAAAAAGACAGCTATTTAGTAATGACTACACTAATGCCTTTGAAAATACAAACAAGTCCTAAAAATAATAAACTAAAAACCTCAGGTGAGTAGAACAAAGCAAGTTGTGAGACTTATGTTTTCACCTTGTCATTGTTCAGTTTTACTTCTGCATGGATTCCAGTTTTTCAGGAAGGAATTCCAATAAATGAGGTAGACTTCAAGAGACAGTGCAGCAATAGCTTGTCATTAGAAGCTTTATTGCAGAAGTATTGAATTTCTGTGCCTGAAAAGCACAGCTCATATCTATGGTTGCATATGACATTGCCTTGCACCCCCCAGAAGAGAAAACAGAATCAGAGAAAAGGAAATTCACATCACAAACAGTTCCTTTACTACTGCCATTGCAAGTATGAGAAAATGTTGAAAAGTTTTGTGTATGTGATGAAAAGTTTTAAAGGAAACATGAACTGGGAAAGAATTATTATTAGGATATATGATGCTACTACATACTGAAGTAGATCACTTTCTTAACCAAAACTCTCCTGAGTAACTGCTTATAACTTTTTCTTTGAATGGTATTTTATTCAAACTAATTTGTTACCCAAAAAATAAAATAATTTTGTGGATGATATTGACAATATATCTTGGGCAAAATTTTCATGTTTGACTATTCCTAGTATTTCAAAATACCATTATCCATGGAAGCAGTTTTTTATGAAGTTACCTGCTATAAGTAAAGGAATGAAAGAGTATTTAGTAATAGGTGAAACATTTCATACTGGGATGTGACTGGATTTAAGTGGCAGGAATGTTAAAATGGTCATTTCTCCATTAAATGATTTTCCACTTTCATGACTAAAATCTTCCATTAGTTGCTAGCATGCAAAAATGTTCTATATATAACTTGTGGTACTAAGAGACAATGACTGAAGCTGTCAGCATGTAAGAAGTAAAGGCATTGAATTTACACTCCTTTCAGCTGTGATGTCATTTGTTTTACCTGCAGTCACCTACACCATGACTGTAGCAAAGGGAACAATGCGTAGTATCTTCAATATTGGCCTTACAGAATTCCTCAGTGCATTTCACTAGAATTAATCATGACAAGTCCTTGACTGACAAAAAGTGGGGTCTCCACTCTCCCCTTCCTTAACCAACCAAGAAAGTGGTGTTAAAATCGGTGCTCATTTTCTTGAGGCCTGTTGTGTATGAAGTCATGTAGGATTTCCTCAAGTACATAGCTGTCCATTGTGTCTACAAAACAACTGGTAGATTAGGATGAATAAATCCAGCTTTTTGTTCTGGACAAATGCTTACTTTTCAACTCTGTACTGAAGACATGATTTTTGTCACTCTAGGTGTTATATCTAGGTGTTACGACAGCTAAGTGTCCGTGGCACAGGTTGAATACAACAGCTATAGAATGCACTGTCAAGAAAAATCATGCAATGGTATATATGAGTGTCCAGTGTGAAAACTAGACCCAGTTTGTCTCCACTTGTCCAGCTGTTTTATCATGGTCTTCCTCTCAACTCACCTTCATCCCTTCACCATCTCCTGTTTGACCAGATCCTAAAACGAATTACTTAATCATATGCTTAGGACCTTAAATAGACCGATACATAACCATCACATTTCATTCTACATTGTTGCAGTGGAAGTCAGCCAAGCTGTTAATAAAAAACGAAGCAGGATTTTTCACTTCAGGGAAATATCTGGGGAGCTTCTAACCTGATTTAAACAACTAATGAACAACAACAAAAAAAAAAAAGTGTGTGGGAAGAAAGCAAGATAAGAGAAGAGGAGGAAAAACAACAGGAAAAGTCTGTAAGTGTAATACATGTACATTAACTTCCGGTCGCTGAATTTAAACTGCAGTTGGGAGTTGAACATTGGCTGAAGGCTTACAGAAATGTACAGTTAAAATATTTTTCTATCCCCAATGAAAAAGCAGCTAATAAGCTAGTAGCAGTACATAGTTTAGGTAGCCATAGAAAGTTTAAGCACCCCAGAAGCATCTTCTATTTTGTCAGCTTTGCTGTCCTTGAAGAAGAAAACTAAACAAAGGTTTCTAGAATGCAATGCCTGAAAGTCATTATATAAACAATCACTATCACAACAGACAATTGTTCTGAGAAATAAGTATCTGGTTTTTGGTCTGAAATTGAAACGTAAGTGGAAGCAGATCTTACTTTGTTTCACACCTTTGACTTGGATATGTTGGGCACCAAGAAATTTTACTATTGTGCTTGAAAAAGATCAGAAAAACACCACCTTATGTGTTTCAGTGGTAACATATTAAAGAAAAAGATTGCTAAAATTGAGAACACTCTATTTAAGGAAGAAGTATAGAACTTGAGTTTTCTCACCACTTCATTCATCTCCACAAAGAAAATCTCTGCCTTAATTTACTTGGCATATCTAGACTACAAAGGTATGACTTGACTCACACAACATATTGCTGACATTCATATATTCAAGACCACCTTTTTCTGGTGCTACCACCTGCCTAGATATCAGTAAGTACAAATAGCAGAAGTGAAACATCTGATCCATTTTCTGGATCATGTAGGAATTGTATCACATTGCCGCACTGTTACTACCGACAGCTAGGCAGGCTCACATGAGCAACTCCAGCAAAGTGCCTTAACTGTTAGAGTAAAGGTAACCTTAAAACTCATTCAGAAACAAAACAAAATAGAACAAAAAACTGTAAATGTAAATGTACAGTTCAAAAGCTTTGAAATGTTATTGACATTTCATTATATCATACTCCCAAAACAATTACATTTAAAAGAATAATATTTTACTAACTATGGTTTCTTCTGAGTTGGGCTGCTGATTTGCTTTTTCCACCAGTGTCAGCATCCAGCTTAACACAAAAACAAAGGTGGACTATGAATGGAACTAAAGGAAGGATATTCCTAGTTATGTTGTTCTGTACCAAACCATCACACACCTTAATAGGTCAGGATTAAACTTTCTGTTGCCTGGACAAAACACTGCACTCTATGATAATGTTGGTGTGTGACAACATAATTTAAAAAATAATGAGATGTTTTGCAGATTTTAATGGCCTACTTAATCTTGGGAGATATCTATCAAATGCAGGAGCTGGAAATCTGAATAGATATGAGAAATATAATACTCATACTGTCTACCTCATTCAGAATTTTTTGTTGTTTTCAGAAGTGTTCCTGTCAGTCTCCTGAAATGTTGTATTATTTTTTTCTTCCTGCAAACTAATTTTTTGGCGGATATTCTTCCTCTTTGGTGGATACCTATTATCCCAATCTTGAATTTGAAAGATCTTACATATGCCCAATAAAGATAAAAAACACAATTTTGCAACAGTATGTATAAACTCAACACACAGAAGTATTGTTTTTCTGTCTATGCTTCCTACAGTTCCAATGGCAACACACTCAATCCAATTAATATTGGATATTTTTCCCATCTTTGAGTTATTTGGTAGACCATGCACCATTATAAAGTTCTTCACACTCAGGCAATGAAATCAAACACAGAATTGAAGTAGATCAATGGAGCAATTCAAAGATGTATAACTGCAGTAGGAAAGGAGAGAAAGGAAAAATGTTCTAGAATACTCACTTTGATGAATCTATGAAGTATATTACAAGAGCACCAATACTAAGAGCGAAGACTAAGACAACCTACAAAAGAAAAGTAGGAGTGATTATTAACAGTGTTAAAGTGAAACATTTCTTCTTCTACACACACACCAAAAAAAAAAACAACCACAAAACCATAAAATAGTATTCTATTTCATCTGTCATTTTCTTTATTAAGGTTGTTACTCATTGAATTTCAAACAGTGTATATTATCACAGAATGCTTTCTTGTAGTGAAAAAGAGCCACAAACACATCAAATCAGGGCAATCCAGTAGACAGTTAGATCTTAAATCCTAACCTCTGCTAACCTAGATTCTTTAATTTCAAATGGCCAGCAATCCCATTGCATGCCATTGAAGTTTCAGTATACATTTAAAAGAACTGTCCTTCAGGACTACAGTAAAAAGTATCTGCTCAGTGGTAAGTAAACCAAGAGAAATGATAGATTACACTGAATTTCCATTTATAAACATGCCTTTGAAATCCACAGGTTATGTACATGTATAAGGCTGTGTAAAAATATGTATTTACGTTTCACTCTTGTCCACTAAAACACTAGTTAACTTGCAAACACATGAAAAAATAATAGTTTGATGCAGCTTGTATGCAAAGGATACACACCCAGGGCAATTTTCCCTCCTTAAAATCTGTTGAATTTTTTGAAAAAATGTGTTTTGTTAGGTATGGCATCTAGCCCTTATTAGCTGTGTAGGAATTGCTTTTTTTGCCTAGTACATTAGAAGCTGGACTGGAGACACATCTGTGACCTACACAATGTGACCTACATCATGACCTACACAATAGTTTCTGTACCCATTGTAACTTAGATGTCTGACATGGTAATGATAGGCTTATTCTCTTGAACAATGCCATCCCCTGGGTAATTTGGAATGTTAAAATATGGATCCAATAAGCTATTTTTTGTATGATAGAATATGATTTTATTGGAAGAAATCAGAAAAAAATACTGTCTGCTACAGTGAAGATGCAAAACAGATTAAAAATTATGTCTCCTGCAACTCTTATCTGATCTACTGGTCTACAAAATCAAAACAGAATGTTCTTGTCTTCTGACAGGCACTTCTCAAGTAGCTGCTTAGAAGTAACATCCCTTAAAATAAACCCAGAGCATTGGCAGTTCAAGACCAGATAGACCAGAGTACTACTAAGGGGACATGCTCCTCACAGTTAAAATACAACTTCTTATGTCAGAAATGGCTAAAACCCACATCATCTGAACAACCATATTTGTGAAATAAACTAGCAATATAAGTCCAATTCTGACTAACCAGATTTATTCATCTGTATGAATATCACCACTAATGTGTACCACCACAATTATTGCTACTTTTCTTGACAACCACAACTGTTCAAGCAACAGATGGACAATGAAACAAAAATTTGTTCATCCAATATAAGCTTCAGACCTAGAAGCTGGCACTGGAAATTATTAGAACTGCTTTTGGCTAATGAACACAGAAATCAGTTCCCAAAGACTGTCTCACTAGGTCCTTGAACCAGCCATGATTCACTAACTCCTCCTCTCCATATATTAGAAAGAATTTGGAAGGAAATTCTCTTCCAGCTACAAGTTTAATTATAATGATTAAACTAACTTTTTTTTTTCCCAGTCAAAGGACATCAGCTACAGGTTTGCTTGCTTTCTGTGCAGATCTTTCTTTTTTTTTTGCCAAGTAATCACAACGTAGTATTCTATATTTTGAGATTATTTTTCACCTGGATTCCAGAGAAAAGGATTTTCATTTTCATTTTAGACATTAAAAGATTTAAATAACATATTTTTGAAAGAGCAAGATGTTTTCAACAATAGAAAAATTCTTAATAAATATAAATATAAGCTTGATTCCCATGCTACTCCAGTGAGATATGACAAAACTACACCATTCCCCTGTTGTAGTATATACCTGACTTTAAATCAAGTCTTGTTTTCTCTTCTACTACCCCAACACACACCCCTGGTATTACTATTCATAATGTCCCCAAAAATCACAGAAAGGGAATTAGAAGAAAATGGAATCTTAAACTCCATTATTATCCTGCCAGCAGAGAGACACACTTTTCATTTGCTTAAGTCACAGTGTTATCAAGCTCAACACAAATATGCTAAGTGTGAGGAAAAAGAAGGGCCTGAATGAATCATTTTAAAGGTATATTATAATAAAAATAAAATTAATATCCTTCCATGCTAAATAAATCAATTTGATAAGAGTCTCAAATGCAAGGTTTATTTAGGTATTTTTTTTTAGGTATTTATTTGGGTATATAGGTATTCTCACCATTTAGGTATTCCCACCTAAAAACTGAATGTAACCTGGTTATTTAGATCCAGGGAGACAGTTTTTGAGTTTAGGTATAAATTCAGATGAGTCCTTGCAAGATTTTCCATGGGAGCCAACATCTATTTTTGAGAACTTATTATGTTTGAAGAGAGGTATAAACCTAGACAGACTGATACCCCAAACCCACAGAAACTAGAAGCTAAGGGAGTAAAATAGCATATATGTGTGTGAATTACTTCCATGTTAACTAGGCCATGGGGAGAAGCTTGCCGGCTCTGTTTATTATTCCAATGCATTTGGCACAGCACTGCAATTGCTACACATCTATTATAGCTTCTCTCTGGAAGGAAAAAATCTTTTAATTTATAATAAATTACTGTTTGTTTAAGATTGAGAAATGTGAAATCATATGCTAGCAGCTACTCTGACTAAGCATTTAGCATTAAGTTAAAAATAATATCAGTCTGATTAAAAGAAAAGGAGAATAAACATGGAATAGTTGCTACATATCCTTTTTTTTTTCATTAAAAATAAAATTAAGGAAGATCCAGACAGAGTTCAACAAAAGTATACGCTGCCTTTTTGAAGCAGAACACAGAGAAATTCTAGTAAAAAAATCCACTTAAAGAAAACTGCAAAAACATTTTGCTTTCTCCAATACTGGTAAGATGCCCCAGAAGACCTTTGACTATTCTTTTGAGGTACTTCATGCATCTACACTAAGAACAGTCACAGGAAATAAAAGGGGAAAAAAAAGGGGGGGGGGGGGGGGACTGACATTTTATAAAAACAGAGTAACACAGCAAAGCTGCAGGGGTAGTATAGACATTGAGCAAATACTATTAGGATGAAGCCATGATAACACCAAAGGGGCTCAGCACACCTTCCAGGGCCAGGCCTATGTAAAAGAAGGATAATAATGACCAATATAATAATATAATGACCAAATAACCAAGGGGTGGCACTGTTTCTCCTACAACTGCATTGAACTCATGTCCTGGCATTACTGAAGAAGCATGGAAAAATGGAAAGGCTGTTCATATTAGAGAGAAGTTATAATTATTACATACACAGTAATGAGTAATGTAAAGATTCTAGTGTAGAAACATTTTTTCCACGTCAGCCCTGCAATGAGTGCATCAAAAACATCATACCACAAACACAAACTTCTTATGCACTCTTATACAGCAGTCTATGTTCATTTAAATTACTAATGAAGAGTTAATACCAGATGTTCTCCCTAAATTACATTTTGATGCGTATATCCACAAGTAGCACTTCAGTCCAATACCAATCCCACTAAAGCTATGAATTCATCTTGGTTTTTTTTGCATTATTTGCATGCACAGAATTTAGAAACACCTATCTGACGTCAAAAATAAGTCAGAAATATCAACAGTTTTCAGGGTATTTGTTACACTAGCTAAATCCTAGCCTCATTAGTTACAATTATTAGTTGCATATGTTTCTTCCAGGTTTTATATGGAATCGGGTAAAATACTTTGTTACAACATTGTTCTCTTCTCCCTTTCCTTCCTGCCAATTCTTCCTATATATAGCGAATGTGCTATAGGTCTAAACATTACTGATAGACATATCTCTGATAAAGACTTACACAAAGTAAACGATACAATAGTTAAAATTGGCTTCTTTCTCCATGTTCCCAATACTCTGTACTCCTCTGTTCTTTTTCTTCCTAATGGTTTCTATGAACTATTTCTATGAATAAACTTTCTGGTATTCTGAGTACTAAATTAAAACATATTTATTTACATACACACATACACATCTATACACATACACATAGATAAAGTAGATGAAAATATTTCCCTTACTTTCCAACTCAAGATCATACATTACGCTATTGACATTGTAGATTGAGAACATCAAAAGAACATCTTTTAAGTAAATGCATATCAACGGTAAATGTACTCGCACAGAGGTTTCTGGGAGTGTGGGGGGAACATAATATGTTGAACTTAATGTCTTTGAAGAACTTAGGACATGTATTTTGTGCTTCTTGCTATGCATTTGTTTCAAGATAGGTAATTTCAATATCTCAGAGGCAGGATGAGATCTTCCATATACGCTATGCAGTAGGCAGGCAGCAGAAGTCATTCAACCATCTACTTGGCGGGTGCCTGAGGGCAAACTTGTCAATCTCTGCCACTAAAGAGTCATTTTTACTATTTCCCTGACTCCTGAAATACAACCCTTTTCTCTTTCATGTCTTCAGGGTTGAAAACTTGTAGTGTGATAGCATGTATTTCATCTTCTTTGAATTTTATTTTATTTTTTTCCCTAAGATGACTGAATTGGATTTGTCTTGGAGCTAATGAATGGAAATATCTCATGTAACATCCAATACCTTCTATTTAATACTAGGTTTACAGAAGCCCTAGAGAATTTATGGTCCCTATTCTATTGGGGAAGGGAGGGGGTAGTATTTGTGAAAAAAATAAAACATTTTATGCTTTGCAGAGGGTGGAAAAGTTCTTATTTTGTTATCTTATGACAATCTATTGTGCATTGCTCTTCAGAAATCTGTGTCTGAAGCTCTTACCATGCTAAGATTAAGTTTTTGACCACTAGGCCAACTTTACTGTTTATAATATATTAAATTGTTCTATTAACATTTATACTTCGGATTACTTAAGGAGAATACAAACCATAACAAATGACCTCAAAGCTACATCCTGGTTAACTCAAGGATCCACTAATTTTGTAATTCTAAAAAAAT